TTTATATAATGTTATAAACCAGTGTTATCCCAATAAAAAATTTAAAAACCAACTTTTGAACTAATTTTCAACCTGGCTGCTGATTTCTGAGCTTTTAATTGTGAGAAGCCAACAATACACTGACAAAAGAATGTCCAGCGTAATTTTATATATTATGATTTGCAGCACATTTCCAATTTTTTTCCCCCATTAAAGTACTTGGGACCAGCTGATCTACACGTGGTAGTAATGGATACTACTGTAGTCTACTGTGGGACTTTTATTACCTGGACCCCCCAGATGCTTTTCTTATATCCTGACAATATAATAAACACAATAGGTAGGGACAATAAGACCAGGTGATTTCTCAGAGCCTCTCAGTCACACCGGAGCTACCATAGAGGACTCTGGAGCATGGTGACTTGGGGCCTCAGTTGCATTTTTTATACTTTTCCAGGCGGAGGAAAGTTAGTAATGACATCAAATCCTGCTATTCGTAGAAAGTACATCTCATGATCCAGTAGCCTCGATATTTGCCCGATTTGAGTTATTTTCTTAAGAAACAACTTCCATTTATTGAACACCAACTAGTGCTAACCTATGATCATCATCACTCCTATTTTACAGGTGAGAAACTGAGGGTAATACGATTTAAGCACCTTGTTCAGAAGCACATGGCTGGTTAGGAGGAGGCTGGGATTTGAAGGCTGTCGTCTGGCTTCAGAGTTCGTGCATTTAATCACTATTCTATTCTGCTTCTTGGATACCATCAAGTAGGGCATGTGGGGTTGATCCTTGCAAAAGCTCCACGTGCCAGATAATATACCCATTTCCTCCTGAGGAAATGGAGACTTCAGAAAGTAAAATCACTCGATCAGGTTTAACTCTTTTTTTAACTGAGTGAAATCTAGAAAAAATAGACCTGCTTCTCCATGCTTACATTTCCCTCTCCACGGGAAGGGCATTCATGAGCAAATCAGGCTGTGTGACCAGGGGCGAGTATGTAGCTCAGAATGAAAAAAGATATAGCTTGCTTTCTTATCAGATCTTCAGGGGCAAATTGCGAATTCTTGCCAATGTCAATTTGAGCGTAGGTGAGAAAGAGCAAAAGGCTCATCGAGCAATAGTGTCCCCTCAGGTCTCCATTACATAGCAAGGTGGTGGGTGAGCTGAAATGTAAACTCTGCTCACCCTGAAAGGGCCGGCTGCGTTTTATGAATGAATATGTGGGTGCTGATTTACTCTAACTCATTTCAGTTCAGCCTGGCAGGCTGAGAAAACACAGAAGTAGAGGTCTGCTGTGCCCCATCTCTGGAGAAGGCTGGTTTCTGCTCCCATAGCCCTGTGCACTCCTGTGCCTCACTTGGCACACCTAACTCGAGCAGACAGAGCCCTTCCTGTGCCTCAGGAGGGTAGTACTTCCCATCGCTCGCCGTTCTGCACTTTCGTTCACGGTGTCTGGGTCTAGATGAATGAGATTTACATAGTTTTAATAAATATTAATAACCATTTTAATCTCAGTAAACCTTTCATATGAGACATTCAAATCACTTCCCAGTCATCTCAGGCTCCCAACGAGAGGGAAGTAATCACTTTGTGAAGCTGTGCCAACTCTTCCAGGCCTTTCGGGCCCCGTTCAGGCTGGGTCTGTGTGACAGGGAACATGTTTGGGGAGAAAATAAACAAGTGCCATGGATGGGCATGTGGGCAGATGGCACCCATAAGCCCACCCCCATTTTCAAAGGTTGTACTCCTGTCTCTCCTTTTAATTTATTTACCACCTGTGCTCTATTATTTTTGTAGTGGGATGTTTTATAATATTAATAATAATACTAGAAGCTAATATTTATTGAGTGCTTGCCATGTGCCAAACCATGAGCTGTGTACCTTAAATGCATTATTTTATTCAACTATGTCATTAGATAGAAATCATTATCATCCCCACCTTACAGATGAGAAAACCGAGTCTCAGAGAGGTTGCTTGTCCCAGGTCACATAACCAGTAAATCACATGACAGCATGCAGGTTCAAACTGAGGTTTGTTAGCTTCTAGTGATCTTTGGCTGTCAATAGGATAGCCTTATCATTCCCCTTCTTGTTGAAAGCAAAATATTTTTAGCAAATAGTACAGTACAGTTTGAAAAGAATTGCTTCAAATAGACCCAGCCTTTGGTGAGGGGGAGAGATTACTTCAAACAGCCTAGTGAATTAGGAGCCTATAGAGTGAATTTTAAAATCCCTTGCCATCCATAGGATCAGGCCAAATGAGCTTCACGTTCATGAGCCGTTAGAGCTGGAAGATATCTCAGGGATTACCTGGTTCAAGCTTCTTATTTCACACATGAAGAGACTGAGGAACAGAGAAGTGAAGGAACTCGTTCAAGGTTATCATAATCACAAACATTTGGATTATTCCCTCGGAGATTTGTTTCTTCTTACTATTATTATTTGCTATTAGTTCTTAATGCATTTTGAGATATATGCATACCAAATGATAATAAAAAATAAGACATTTTGCTATAATGTATTTCTTTGTGTGTAAATCACTACTTGCTGGCGTTCTATGAATCAGTCTTAGCAGACGGGAGTTCTAGAACACTTACAACAACTCAGCACGAATGAAGTCAGCATATTCTCCGTGCTCATCAAAATTTTCCTGTTCTCAAATCCAAAGTGTTAATGTACCATTCTCAAAAGGACAGCTGTTCCCTCTAGTTTAAGACTGATGCCTTGTCTTGATGGTTTATGTGTCTCAGAAAGAATTCTCTCACAGTAGCTGTTAGCTACTGTAAACAGCCGTTAGCTGTTTATGTGTTTGCACCATTGCTGGACCATGGGTTGCACAATGGGTGCTTTGCTGGCAGAGACCTTGTGTTTTCATCATTGTCCTCAGTCCCTTAGTACCAGCCCTGGCACAAAATCTATACTCATCAAATGTTTGTTGCATGAATGATGGATGGGTGATTGTAAAGACCTGGAAATCTTTCTCATCAATATAGCATTGTAATGTGAAGCTCATCATTAATGCTTATGAAACAACAGAGCAGAAATACAGAAAGGCAGCCCAGGCTCAGGCGCAGACTTGACCAAACTCTAGACAGATAGTGTTCAAACATTCACATACCTTTTCAGGGTTAGATTGCCCTATCTCAATTTATTAGCCAGAAGATAGCCAGTGGTCACTAAGATGTCCTACGCCATCATCATTTTTAAGAGGAGGAGTAACGATATGAGGTAGTGAAGGGGCACTCTAGAAATTCCTTTTAATTATACTGGGGAAGTTCTTTATCACACTTTTTAAGTTAAGCCTATATCTCCCCAAGTAACAGAAAACTTTCAATGATGATCCCTCTGTGAAAGCTCAAGCCACAGGTGAAATTTCGGAGACTGATTCATGCATTCTTTCTCACTCAACATTTATTGGATATTGTGTCATGCACCAAAAAGACAAATACGAAAAAGACAATCTCCTGCCCTCAAGGAACTTGCAGTCTTGGGAAGAGGGGTAAGAAAGAGCACACAGTAAACACATAGTTACAGTAAAGCTGGGTCAAGGCAACTCACTCTGAAGTCAGACTACGAGGGCTCAACACCCACTCCATATTTCCCTAGTTGTGTGACATTGAGTGAACTACTTAACTTTCCAAAGCCTCGTGTCATAAAATATAAAATAGGGACATTAATACCTGTTATGCAAAGTTCTTGGTATGTTAAATGAGATGATATATACAAATGCTTAACAGGGTATGTGGTAGTATTCAAAAATATTAGCTATGATAACAGTGGTTCTTACACTCCTATTATAAATGCTTTCATGGAAATATGGACAGAAGAAGGGCACCTAACTAACAAGGGTTGGGCTGGAGAGGTAAAAGAAGACTAACTTTTTAAAGAACAATAAAGATTGGTATGAATCGGTAGGCAGATTGTGTCCAGGGTGGTTGAAATTGGGATAAGAAGTGGTTGGTCTCTCTTTTAGGTGTCTCATGGAATAAGCTGGAAGGCTAGAAGGCATGTAAAAATCTCAGCTATTTAAGGCAAGTCTTGTGCTTCCAACCAGTTGGACCAGAGAACAAGAATGGCAGAGGGAAAAGCACAGATGCAGGAACTGGATCATCAAGGGCCTTTACTTTGAAGGCCTCGCAGGTCATTGAAGAATTTTAAATAGGAGAGTGACATAACAGAATTTTGGAAGGATCACTCTGGCTATGGTGTAGACTAGAGTGGCTCAGAAGAGACTAGACCATATGCAGAATGTGAGTTGGGAGGCTGTTTGCAGTAATGTGGGTGAGAAATGATGAGAACCTAAACTAAGGCACTCGCAATGGGAGCAAAAGGAAGTGAAGGAGATTTGAGAAGTTTTCAAGAAGAAAGGGGTAGGACTTGGCAATTAATTTGATGTGAGGAGCAAAGGCAAGGAGCAGCCTTGGATGACACCCAGATTTCTGGTTTTTGAGATGGGATGGATGGAAGAGCAGGTGAGGCAGGAAGATGATGCATTCAGTTTGGGATATGTTGAGTTTGTGGTTCTTTATAGGACTTTCAGGGAGAAATGTCTAGCAGGCATTTGGATAGAAAGGTCTGGCACTGAGAAGAAATACAGGATTTTACAGTCATGGAGAGGATCCAAGAAATTATTTCATGTGTTGAAAACAGCTGATTTAAAGCCATCTACTGAATCCATTTTTGTTGTTGTTAAAGATGAGAACACTAAAGACAGAATATAGGGTTCTTCTAGAAGACCAGTTTTCAATTTTCTTAAAATAAACAACTCACTCTGATGAACAGAATAAAGTCTCTCCCAATTCTAACACTATGATTTTATTGTTCCAAAACACTGCTGTGAATCTGGAATTGCCTTTTGACGACAGTAAACCTGTGGCCTTAAAACTTCCTTTGTGGTTGTGTGGAATATGTTTTTTTAAATGAAAGCCCACTATTATAAAGCCATATGGCCCCAAACATGCAGTGACTATGCTCATGAGAAAGAAAAACCAAGTAAAGATACTATCTACATTTACCTACTCTGATCCCAATTGGCCGCAAACAGCAGAAGGATCTTCCTGCCATAGTGGTCGCGGTTTTCCAGCACTCCAGGGAACCCATCGATGAGAGCCCTCTTAATGCCGGGATCATCGGCCTTGAAGTTTTTGAACATGTCCAGGTTTAGCTGGCGGTACTGGAAGTACTGGGCCAGGAGTCTAAAGGCATCTGCTTGGTGAAACTTCCTGGCTCGGAGAAATCTCAGGATGAAGGCATCATCTGTACGTAAAAATCCAATGTCAGGTCTGGTGATGATCATGTCCCTGACTTGCTGAATATCCTGATGTAAAACATCCGGGTTTTCATTCAGTTCCAGGCGAGCTTTCTCTATAGTCTCTGGACTGAGTCCAGCCTGTAAATGGGTCATCTTGGCCAAATCTCCCTTCCAAGTGCTTAATTTTTCGTATTTGGAAAGAAGAGGAACTGGTCCCATTCACGTGATGGTCTGCTGAAATCGGGGCCCATTCAACAGATTTTTGCTACCAAACAGCTGCTGAAACAGACAAACAGAGGGTCTTCTTTCTGGTTCTGGGAAGCAGTAGGACATTCAGGTCCTATGTGGTGGTAGCCATCCAAAAGAGAAGCAAAGTCAAGGCCATTGCCCACTGCAAAACAAATGCGCACAAGAGAAACAAAACAGAGATGATACAAGAAAGTCTGGGCAAGTTCACTGGAACTTAGATAGAAAAGTCGTATATTATGCTGTGGGTGTGATTAGATTAGGTATCCAAAAAACAAAGGGTAAATTATTCTTAAAATGAGATATTCAGCATAATTTTCTTACTGACAACTTGAATGGATAATACGCAAGTATTTGAAACATGTTTGGAAACATTTTAGTTACACTGATTAGTTAACATAATAGTATATGGTCAGATTAGTAATAGATGGCTCTTTTATTAATTACCCTAAGTAACAGTAAGAAGAGAGAAAGATCCTTCTGTTACAGCGTGCTTTATGGGGCTATTCACAAGACTAGATATGGCAGAGAAATTACGGCTGCTGTACAATTTATTGCTTCCCATTAGCCCCTCTTCTCAAGTAGAAGTACCTTTCATAGAAATACTCCCTCCCCCACCTTTTTTTTAAGGCAGCCATTTGACTCTTAACAACAAAAAGGGTCTGTTAAAGGTCACCCCATCATAACCTCACAGGTACCTCATTACTCATAATTGAACAAACAACAGTGGGGGTTGGGAGGGCACGGGCTCATGGCTGGAAACTTGACCTTTAATAATCAAACTGAACAGCAATCAGAAAGGATGCTCATGTGTGGACATTTACAAGCAGTTTTATTATTTGCCTTTGTCATCCTTCTGCAGAAAAAGCAAAGGGACTTGAAACTCTTGGTCGCCTTCCTACTTAACCCAACATCCATACAGGCTTAAGAATCATTCCATTTTATGTAACTTTTCTGTTGTCCTGAGATATTATTTTACTAGTGATAATGATCGAATGTTTTAATTCCCTCAGATACCTCCCTTAAGATTTCTCTACCTAAGCGGTAGACAGAGAAACACCCATGTTATTTGCATCTTTCTCATCTTAAATACAAACGTCTAAGCTCTCTCAGACATTGGATTGGTCTAACCTGGAAGTTCCAAATATCAGAAGACATACATGTTGTAAATAAACGTAGAGGCATATATTTTTTCCCTAGCTTTCTTAGGTCAACAGTATCTGCAATAAGAGAGAAAACATTTACTTCCAAGCTAATTACTATTGGTAATGCTTTATCATACAAAATAATTTAAAATGTCTCTTCTACTTAGTTTAGGACTAGCAGTAATTTCTTAAGGGAGACAATCAACTCACACATTTCTGCTTTATATTGACTTTGTAAAATGGGAGAGATGAAGGACAGTTTCAGTAACGGGTATTCATTTTCAGGACAATAGAATAATAAAAATTTTATTTATAAAATGTTGGCTTTGTAAAATAATTTGTAAGAAAATAGCATTTAGCTCTGTGATGTGGGAAAACAAGAAACAGAGCAGAGTCTTGATTCTCACTGATTTATAAGGACTTAGAGTAGTAAAGGAAAATAGTACTATGAACTATTCCCAGGATTGGAAGAAATTTCAAAATCCATCTAGGTCCATGCCTATCTGATGTTAAAATTCCCTCTCTAATAGCCTCACCACACTCCTTCAAAAAATTGCCTTGTTTAGTGTCTTCCTCTTTGAATTCATCCCTACACCCACTACAGTCTATCTTTGCTCTCACCAACCAATAACCAGGATGACCGTATAATTTATTATCCAAATTTAGACACTAGGAGGCGCTAATAAGAATAATGCTGGAACAACAAGCACAGACCGGAACAGTTCCAAACAAACCCAGACAGATAATCACCCTACTAGTGAATGACCTTTCCGTTGCTACACCCAATGGACAAATTTTCGGTACCTATACGGATGACCTCTATCAGTATTTGATACTGATGGCTTTATCCTTCTTAAAAACTCTCTCTCCTATTCTCCAACTCTCTTTTCTGTGACTCCAGACACACTATTTTTCTCCTAGCCTTCTATCTATTCCTGCTCAATCTTCTCTTCCTGTGGTCACTGCTTTACTGTGGTGTTTTCAGGATCCTGCTCCATGATTTGGCCACCTACATTTGGACAACTTCACTCCATTTCTCTCTCCTGATCTGATCTTCAGACCACATATCCAACTGCCTACTGAACACCTCCACTTAGATGTCCCATAGACACCACCCTCTCAATATATTCAAAACTGATCTAACCACAGTCCCTTGTCCTGAATTTGCTCTTCTCCAACCCCATCTCTTAGTGACTGACACCATCTTCTGTGCAGTTTTGCACGCTAGAAACTGAGAGTCAACTATTATTCCACCCTCTCCCTTACCATAATATTTCTGAAAATCTGTCCAATTTTTTTCCATCCATTTTCACTGTCTTTGTTTAGGCCACATCATCCCACATCTGTTTAGTCCTGCAACATTCTCCTTGCTGCGAACCTTGTCTTTTCCTAGTCTATTCTCAGTATTACAATTGAAATCTTCTCATGTCACTCCTTGATTGGCACTGATCAGTAGCTACCAATTGCCCTAGGATAAACTACAAAACTACATAACATGGTCTCCAAGACGCTTCATCATTTGGTCCCTATCTGTCTTTCCAGATTCACCCTCCGGCCTTGCAGCCACACTGAGCCACTTGCAGTTTCTCCTCACTTCTGTGGGCCCTGGCAAAAGATTCTCTCTCTGCCTACAATGACCACTGATTAACTCCTTTTTGTCCTTCAGGAGTCATCTTGGAGATTATTTTCTCTAGAAAACCCTGCCTGACCTTCAGAGGTCATGGGTAGCTCCACAGCCCCAGCCACACCACATTTTATTGTCATTTTCCTCTCTCCCTCTCTACTCCAAACCCCTTGCAGACAAGAGCTGGATCTCATTCATCTGTGTGTCCCCAATATAGTGCCTGACACAAAGAGAATCAGCTCCATGAGCAGAGTGACTTTGTTGTTTTCATCATCTATCCTCAGTGCCTAGGACAGTGCCTGCCATGGATTAAGTGCTCAATAAATAATATAGAATAAATGAATAAAGAAAGTAGTTGAAATGTTTCAGTGAGTAAGTGGTTTCTCCTACTATTTGGGTACCTCTAGAACAGTGTTCTTTAAATGAGGGCATGCAGCTGACTTTTAATTTCCTCTCTCATCTACCAAGCATTTTTCTTCCTAGGAGAACTTAGCCTAGGTGCATTGTACTTCAGATCATGGACTCCTTTGAGCACGCTGGGCAATGTTCACAGTTCCAAACCACGCACAGGATGCTTAGAGCACAAGGCATAGCAAGGGCTTGTCCTCTATAGAAGATTTAAAGCAGCTGGGAGTGAGTTACTTACCTTATATTTCAGGAAACTCAACGATGTTTCCTAGATAAATTACTACAGGTTCAAGGGGAGAGTCGTGGGTTGCATTTTTCATGGCCCACTTCCACATATAGCTATGTCTCCAATCTATAATATCTGAAATAAATTTGCTTCAATCTCTATCTTTATTTTGTGCTCAGCATACAGCGGAAGGTTCTGGGGAGAATACCCAAGCCAGGGTCACTGAGTTTCATACTTAAGATGAAATAGATATTTTCCAATAAAGGCAAATCCTTCATTTCAGATGTCTGAATACACTACTACTTAAATAACAACTTAAACTCATAATATTTAAGGCACTAAAATGCTATGCTATTCAAGAACATTCTCCAGGATGTAGCATTGTCAATTGACTATAATCTTTTGTTCACATGAAGGATTTGGTTCTCGTTCAACTTTTCTGAATTGGTCAAACAAATATAAAAGGATACATCGGACTTGATATCACATGAAGAAGTAGGAGTAGTTTTGTATCCTGATGGTATTCATAATAATAATAGCTTTAATTTAATTTAATTTAATTTGTTATTTATTATAACTGTGTTTATTACATCCCAGGCACTTACATATTCTCTTTTTATATATTATATTGTTTAATCCATAGAACAACTGTATGAAATAAGTCTATTATTGTCTCTATTTTTCAGATGAGGAAACTGAGGCATAGAGAGGTTAAATGACTTTCCCAAGGTTACACAGCTACTAAGAAGCAGAAACTGAATTCAAGCCAGAGTAATCTTTTTCCAGTCCCACGCTCTTTACTACTATGCTGTTCTGCCCCTTCTGTGTAGCAGAGAGGTTCTACTACTACTTAAGACCTATCTGACCTCCAGCAAGTCACCTTTTGTCTCAGAACCTCACTTTTTTCCCTCTCAAATCTCTTCCAGATTTACCATTCTACAAACCCAAGTATGCCTAAAGGGATTGACAGATATTCTCAGGTAGCCTAAAACCACCCCTTACAGATGTCCAGTTACCGTCTTGTCCTCATTTAGTCCTTAGAAGACGACTGAAGCTTTTTAAAATCCAGTTGTCTGTGCCTTTTCCAGCTATCACAATTTTTTGCTCTTCCTTTATGTATTTTCCTTTGGCCAAAACACCCGATCAAAGACCCTGCCATTCTGTTTGAAGGATTGATACTTCTCCATGCTTAGTGAGTGCCAAGGATGACCTGGGCATTGAGATGTGCTTAATAACCCAAAAGGGCGTTTTAGGCAGGTTCACGTGAGCCTCAGAAACCGTCTTTTCCATTGCTGGTTGAGTCCCCAATGATTTTTTTTTTTCCTAAAGATTGGCAACTGAGCTAACAATTGTTGCCAATCTTATTTTTCTTTCTTTTTTTTTTTCTGCTTTTGATCCCCAAATCCCCCCAGTCCATAGTTGTATACTTTAGTTGTGGGTCCTTCTAGTTGTGACATGTGGGACGCTGCCTCAACGTGGCCTGATGAGTGGTGCCATGTCCGCGCCCAGGATCTGAACTGGAGAAACCCTGGGCCCCCAAAGTGGGGTGCACGAACTTAACCACTCGGCCACAGGGCCGGCCCCCACCCAATGATTCTTTATTCAGAGATTGTTCCAAATACGTGGAGAGTAACTAACCACACTCTCTGGTGAGGCCAACGTAGGAACTAACTTCCAGTTCTAATCCACGCTTTTCCTAATGAACTAGAAATTTTGGTAGTGGTATTTTTGTATGAGAGAGA